ATAATGTTAATGATAGATAAGTTAGATAAGATAAGATGTAAGTTTAGTTTATAAGTTTAATAATAGTTTTATAAGTTTTGGAAAGTTAATAGCCCACAGCCATGTACCTAGAATTGTGGGTTTGTCATTTTGCTTTGTCATTTGTAATCTGCAATATAGTATAAAATAAAGAAGCCCACCTCATTATATGGGGCACATCTTCATCTTGTGTGAATGTGTCTCCATCATCTTGCCGACACCACCTCTCCCTCCAGAGACCCACAGCTGAGGCTGGACCTCGGCACCTTGTCTTAGAATGAAATGGTGTCACTGGGTCTAGAGCTCCAGGTTCAATGAGCTCTTACTAATCTTTGAAGGGGCTGTGGATGGTTAGGCACATCTTCCAACATTTCATATACACTTGTCTTCTTACCTAAGGGCACTCAAAGACTTCCCATACATATAATTACGAAGAGACCTTTTTCTTACACAACCTATTACCCAACAAACATATTCACTCCTGCAATGACATGGATTCTGCAAAAATTAGAATGTTTGTGGCTGTAAGTAGCAAATTCACATAAAAGTGATTTTAAAAAGGCATCAGTTATCTCAAATAACAACTTATTTTTGATTAATTAGTGTCTTAGTGATGTCATAAGTTCCCAAGTTCCTTACATCTATTTCTCTGCCAGGGTTAGGGGGCTGGCAGTTTCCTCTATGGCCCTATTATTTTGCAGTTCCAGGTGTCAAGTGTAGGTGACATGTCTACCCAGGAAATTCTTCCCAGAAGCTCTCCAATGGATTTTCCCTCATGTCTCACCAGCCAGAATGACTGTGACTAAAGCAGTCTCTTGGTGAGTAAGTTAGGCCCAGGGTTAGACCCAGAGAGTCAGAGAGGAATGTAGTCACTTTGAAAGACAGGGCCCCCTAGAGAAAGTGGTGATGTGGTGAATGGCTCTTGGGTATATAACCACCAGTGCCTGACACTAATCCCAAAGTCACGATCATCTAACACAGCCAGGAGCAAGGTCAAGGAGTATCAAACACCGCATATCAATCTCTTCCTGAGTCTCAGTTTCAATCATTCATCCCAGATATTTCTTCTTGTTATTTTGCAAGCATGTTCTAGACATCAAATTTAACTACCATTCACTTACTGAGAAGA